AGTAGGCAAGAATCCAGGGACACACGGCTGCATCTCTCCGAAAGCTGGTGGTTTAAAGACGAATGTGGATGAAGCCATGTATTGTTCCTCGAACACTCTCTTCCATCTCCACATCATGTCATTGTTGTACTTTAGTCACAAGATCAAATAAAATAATAATTAGTGAACTTATCAAGAAATATTAATAAGAAAATATCATCTAAATAGGTATGAAAAGTTTACTTACTTTAAGACGATTCAGTGGATTCACGCCTCTGCGAAGAGTAGATCAACCGGTGTAGTAGAGATATATAAAGCATATCGCCACCAAGATACTACAGCTTTATAATAACACTCTATGGATCTGCACTACCCATAGAGTCACCTTATTCAAAACACCCTTCTTTATTAAAAAATATTTAGAAAATAAAGTGAGGTAAGAAAGAATAGAGGAATGTGTAGAAAAACTCATTTTTGAGCAAAAGGCATGTTCTATTTATAGGACTCATGGTCTTGTAACTCCTATTTGTAGATTAATGGTAGAAATAAATTGGGCAATTATTATGAAATAATGTACCATTAAATAGGACAATTAACCTCCAACGGTTAGTTTGACAAAATCCTTAATGGGACAATAAATTCAATTTATAAAATATATTATTTTATTTTTTATTAAAATACTTAAGTTCCAACAATTCCTCCACTATTTTAATAAAAAATAAACCTTTCTTTGGGCAAAGATGAATTATTATTCATAATAAAGGTAACTAAGCCCTGAACCTTTACTTAGTAAGTCAACGATTCTTAATCCAAAGTCAATAGTGAATTAAGTCTTGAACTATGATTTTATTGAAAGATACAAGAATTGTATCACACACATAATGATCCGAATGTTGAGTTTTGTCACATAGCTAGCACGTTATGACCTTGCACATGATCTGGTTTTTCATGGGTGATCTAGAAAATTGCACATCCAATTTTCATAGAAGCGGCCTCACTTCGACACCCACATAGGTGAAATTTGTTAAGAGTGCTCCCATAACTAAGACACCCCACTCTATGAGCTACAAATTTCATTAAGAGTATATAACTCAACCCTAAATTCGTTATGGGATAGATGCATCTTCACCTTAGGAATGGGATTGGAAAATTTTTTCATTAAATATTGATACATCTTTCAATAACGACTTCTCTATGATTCGTTTTTCCCATTCAAAACCCAATTCTCAGAATTCGAGTTGGGTATCCTCATAGGAAGTTCTACATTATTAGGGTTGAATCCCATTCCCTTCGATGAGCACTAGACCTTGGACTATGATCATAGATTTTCCTCCAACTTTTGTTTTTGCCAAAGGCCTAGTTGGTGGTATTGTGGGTAAAAAGAGATTCAACTCATTCTCTTTTTCTCACTTTTCACATCAACCCACATGCTTACTAGCTCATGAAATTCACATTCATTTTTCTCAAATTTTCACTTCATGGTATCACAATTTTGATATCAAATCGAGCTAGTGACCCACCATTTTCTTTCCATACATGTAGAAACATATATTTAAGAATTTTTAATTCAAACACCATTATACCTTGTTGTATAATAGGAATGTCCATCACATACCCCTTTTCTCAAGTGTCTTATTATTTTTTCATCATACACCATTATACCATAATTTTATAATAGGAATGCATATCACATTTATTTTGTTAAGCACCATTATACCTTATTATATAATAAGAGTACATATCACATCTACTTTCTTAAGCACCATTACACCTTATTGTATAATAGAACTGCTATGCAAAATCTCAATTAGGCATCGTTGGTCTCATCACCAATAATAATATATAGGGATATTACAATCCCTCACATTGTGAGCATTTCAAATATGTGATTATCACATTTCTCAAATAATTGAGTTCATGAAAAAACTCATTTTGCTCACAAGATTTTTATAAGAGCATATTTGCTCATCTCACTTTTTATTGCCATAAATGGCTCCTCGGTTATGCAAGCTCAAAAATTTAGCTTACATTTCCAGAATAAACTAACCCAAATTTCATGTCTATTTTTTTACCCAAAAAAAATTGAATGGACCAAATTAGGTGGCTCTCTAATTCTCAAAATTGTCACCTGCTTGGAGCATATATATTCCAGAAAATCAAAATTTTTTATTTTGCTTACACAAAGTAGCACATGTTTCAATTTTGTTTTCCACATTAAATCACCTTAAAATTATTGTTCCTCGAACACTCTCCTCCATCTCCACATCATGTCATTGTTGTGCCTCGGTCACAAGATCAAATAAAATAACAATTAATGAACTTATCAAGAAATATTGATAAGAAAATATCATCTAAATAGGCATGAAAAGTTTATTTACTTTAAGGCGATTTACGCCTCTGCGAAGAGTAGATCAACCGGTGTAGTAGAGATACATAAAGCATATCACCCCAAAGATACTACAGCTTTATAATAACATTTTATGGATCAGCACTATCCATAGAGTCACCTTACTCAAAACACCATTCTTTACTTAAAAATATTTAGAAAATAAAGTGAGGTAAAAAAGAATAGAGGAATGTGTAGAAAAACTCATTTTTGAGTAAAAGGCATATTATATTTACAAGATTCATGGTTTTGTAACTCTTATTTGTAGGTTAATGGTAGAAATAAATTGGGCAATTAACCTCCAATGGTTAGTTTGACCAAATCCTTAATGGACAATAAATTCAATTTATAAAATATATTATTTTATTTTTTATTAAAATATTTAAGTTCCAACACCATGTTACAGGGATCAGGACGGTCGGGTATAGGAGCGGTAGTCCGTGACTCGCGAGATGGGGAACGTTATGGCCTCGATGGTAGGTCAGTTTGCTTACTTTGGTGATCCCA